TTGTTTTGATTTGCGTTTCTTTTATCATTAGTGGAGAGCAGTCTTTCATATAGTTGTTAGTAGTTTGTAATGCTTATGAGATTTCCTTTTTTCATATCCTTTGACTACTTTTTCATTGGAGAATGTTACTTCGTCTAATCACTAGTTATCTATAGAAGTGTTTCCTTTTTTTTACATATTCAAGTGTGTTAAGTGAGCTCACATATAGAAATATTTCATGGAAGGATTTTTTCCCCCAGCTTCAGCTAGGTGCATTAAGTCTTTTATTTATCTTAATCAGATTTCCTTTATAGAACCTGATAAGCATCTTTCGAAAAGGAGATTAAGGAAACCTCTAAGTAAAGTCTTCCTTTCTTACTAGGAAGGCATCTAGGCGGTTCACTGGATAGACTGCTGGACCTGTAGTCAGGGAGACAAATCCTACTTCAGACACTTACTTGGTGTGTGACACTGGACAAGGTACTTTACCTTTGTCTCAGTTTGCAAATATGTAAAATGGGGATGATATTAATAGCACCTACCTTCCAGGGTTGTGAGAATAAAATGAGATAATATATGTAAAAGCTCATTGCAAACCTTAAAGTGCTATTATAAATACTCATAACTTTGTTCTTTTTGGCTTCTTGTTTACATATATAACCTTTTGTTATTTACGTTTTATGGCAAATGATAAATAGGAAAAAAATCTAGCACTAAATTTGTTTTGTCTTTCATGCAAAGACTTTAGGGCATTTTCAAAACCGTTTATTAGAATTGAAACATCCTCTTGGATGAAATAATTTGTTCTCAGGATGAAAGGGACTCAGATTGTTTCTTCTCTAGTATCCTAAGTGACAAGTCCATTAACAAAGCCCAGATCCTACAGTTAATTGCCTGGTTGGTACTCTAATCTCCTTGTTTGTGCTGCCACTGAAGAGAGTTAATTTTTCCCCCTCCCTGAAGTGGAGGGAAATACTATTTGGCAAGAAGCTAAATTATTTAGATCACTAGTGTTTCTACAGAATCCCCTCTGAACTCTTTGAATGTTGAGTTATACAAGAGGCATATATTGTTGATATTGGTCAGCCATGTAAGATTCTTCTTACCCATGGACAGCTAAAATGAATAAATATTATCTTCAGAAAATTGATATCAAAAACATTTTTAGAGTTGCAAAAATAAAATGTACTGATAGGAATGCTCACACTTGATCATCTCCAAAGTTCATCTTGCCTAGTGTTTTGTTGCCAACAGAAGCCTCAGGAGGCATAAGCATCCTGCTTTTAGAAAATAAAAAAAAATATTTCTGAGTGATGACGGTGTAACATCTTTCCTGTCCATATTAGTCATTCTTTGAATTGATGTTTTTAATCATTGAACTAGAATATTAATGGTATTAGCTTGTCTTAATTCACCAAAGCTTTAAATGATTATTGTATTTATAAGGTAGTATGCTAAGTGGTAAAGAATATAAAATTAAATACAAGGAATTTATAATTTGATAGGGGTGATAATACAGGGACCTAGACAACTGTATGAAAATTATACATATGTAAAGAGTGGTGCAGAATGACAAGGCAGATCGAAAGCAGAAATTAATTCTGATTGGTGGGGGAGTGTGGGTGGGGTTGGCAGAGACCATGACCAAAGTCACAGTGAAATGGAGCCTTGAAGGATATAAAGTGGAAGCAAGGACAGGGCAAGAGAACATGTGTGGTCTGGCTTGGGAGCAGCATGGGGCAAAGCAGTTCATTTCAAAATTTGGTAGGAATAGTGCTTCACCCGATGAAATAGACATGTTCCCATAAAGTTGTCAAAAGATGTTTTTCTCTGAAATGTACTGCATTTTCTCATTGACTTCCATTTTAATTTCTTAGGTATAGTCTCAGCTCCAATCAGGAAATTCTATTTATAGATTATGATAGATTTGCTGGTATAGCTAGTGTAGTGCTGCACATAAGTACACATATTTGTTGAATTCAGGAGACATGGCTAGGTTTTGGACCCAGGTCTCCTGATTCTAAATCCAATGCTTTTCTTTTTTTTTTTTCCTTTTTTTTTTTTTTGCTGTATTCTAGCTGTTGCAATATGTAGTTGGATTTTCCTTGGTATTATCTATCATAACAGAAAGGGATAAATTGTTTCTCCCTTTCGCTTATCCCCTTCACACTTTCATTCCAAACCAAACTCAATGGATTGGAATTAACTGTGGAGACCAATGTTGTTATTGTTTAATGTATGTATTGCTAAAGAGGTGCAAAGTAGAAAAACCTTGGTTCAGACTGAAAGTAGGAATGAAAAGAAAACATTAGCAGAAGTATAGGTAAACTTTGTTCTTGAGTAATTATGTGGACTGAATAAATAAGGTGGTTCCCTTTCTGGGTCTTGGAAAATAGGATGTAACATTTTAAAAAATTATATCTTTAATTTTCTTATGAATTCATCAATGTAAAAAACTTCCTGGCATGGAAATGCCCTCTATAATACAAATCTCGCAGTTGTGGTTCATTTGTAGTTTCTAATCTGAGAGTTAATTGAGACCAGAGACAAAATGACTTGACTTTATGTCCCTTGGCTAGTATGTTTCAGAAGCAGCACCCAGACCGGTTGTCTAACTTTAAAAAGGCCAGCCCTCTGTCTACACTGTTTTCCATTAAGTGATATCAGAATTAAAGAATAGGGATGGGATTTCATTGCTTTAGGAAACCCTCTCCACTAGTCCTCACCAGTTCTCTGAAGTTGTATAGGCTTCTAGTTGCCTAGAGTGGTGAGAGATGAAGTGGCTTTTTTCCACACAGCCGGTTTGTCAGAGGCATACTTGAAGACTCATCCTCAAGTCTTTCTGGATCCAACGCCAGCTCTCTGTCCACTATACCATTCTACATCTCACATCAAAACGAAGACAGCAAATTATAGGAAACATAATGTACCTACTAAGAGTTGAAGGGAATGGAGGGTCTAGCTCTCTGTCAGTTAATGTGGAGAAGAGAACAGTCTGCTCTAGTGGCCTCTTGGGCAGCTCACTTAACCCTTTTGAGCCTTTGTTTCCTAGTCTGTAAAATAGACAGTGATACTTGTACTTAGTTTCAGAATGTAGTTTTAACAAAAACCCTTTGTAGAACTTAAAGGCTGAGACTTTCTCTTTTGTCTTTGTATATCAGTACCTTTTGTAGTTCCTAGTGTGTAGTAGGAGCTTATTCGACAGGTGAAAAACTTAAGTACAGGGAGGTTAAGAGACTTGACCCAAGGTCATCCAGAGGCCAGGTTTACCTTCTCTATCCTCACTTTCTTCATTAGTCAGATGAGGTTGGGCTAGAGAGCTTTTAAAACTGTCCTTCAGAAATGTTTTCCTAAGGTCACATAGACTGCAGAGCCAGCAGGACTTCATACTCCAAATCTAGCATTCTCTTCGGGAACACCATGGATAATTTGAAGTCCTTGATTTGGATTTAAAAAAAAATTAATCCTTAAAATTACAGGGTAAGGGAACTGTATGGCTAAATTAGAGTTATTATAATGTGACTTGACATCCAAAAAGGTGCTATTCTAGGCTTAATGGAGTAATAGTGTTGAGAAACGGCGGGGTGGGGTGAGGGTGGTGGCAAAAATCTCACTGTACCTGTCCTGGTCCTGGCACCTCTGAAGTACTGTGTTCACTTCTTAACATATTTCAGGAAGGATATTGACAGGATATAGAGCATTCTTGGGAGGGTAACTAGTTTGGTGAAGAGAATGGAAATTAAACCATGTTAGGGTAGATTGAAGTGTTGAGGTTTAGGGGTGTTGGGACCCTAAAATCATGACACTCAGGTACTGCCCAAATGAATTTGACCCAAGCCTTCTTTCAGCCAAAGATAACGTTTAGTAAAGATCCACCATATTGGCCAGACTCTTAAGGAATCTGAATATTTGTGAGCTATTGACTAAATTATAAAAATCTGAGCCCTTGGTTAGACTCTTAAAAGAATCTGAGCACCTTAATAGAGACAAGATGGGTCTTGTATACAGAAAGACTGTGGGAGGGATCTAGGGAGGATCTTAATGGGAGTGACTGGGAGGTTGAGAATGGGGTCTTGATAGGGTCAAGGGTGGGAAGGAGTCAGGGGCCTTCCGGAAGTGATAGACAGTGGAGAGCTGGGCTAGGTTAAAGGTAACTGAGAAGTGGGAGATTGGGCGTAGGTGATAATGAAAAGTCAGTTAATGGGATTGTAGCTCAGGCGAAATCCAGAGGTTTGGCCATGTGGCAAAGTCCAGGGTTTTTCCTCTCCGGAGTCCAGATCTTAAAGACATGGCATTTTCTTTTAAGGGTTCAGATCCCATCCCCATCAGGAGGAATTAAAGATAATTAGTTTGGTGAAGAAAAAGCTTAGGAAAACATTTGTCTTCAAGACATTAATAGACTTTTATTTAGAAAAGGGACTACTTGTTCTGCTTCCTTTTAGAGTACTAGGGTAGCAATGACTAGACAGTGAAGAGAGGCAAATTTCAGCAATGTAAAAACAAATCCATATTTAGAGCATTTCTAAAACAAAATTACTTTCATTGTTAATAAGGGATTAACTTCCCTGTCACTGGATAACTTGAGTTCATAACTCTGTGATCACTATGGGAGTTCTTGTAGAAGGGATTTTTTTAAAAAATCAGGTAATTAGATGTTAACTAGATGGACCTTGGGGTTGTTTCTGACCCTGAGATCCTATGACTCAATACTTCCTATCTCTGTGGCCTTGGGCAAGTTACTCAATCTCACTTAGTCTCAGTTTCTATGTCTGTAAAATGAA